CTTTCTTCTCGCTCGACTCCGCGCTGAATCCTTCGCAGCTTCCGCTCGCAATGAGTGTTCCGGCTGAACCTGAAGCTCCTGCGTCCCGTCTCAAAATACGTCTTACAGGCGGCTGGAAAACAATTAAATGAGTGTGGTATGAATACAAAAAAAAAATCAAACGCAAGTCACAGTAACATTTAACAAGGAAGGAGAAACAGTAAAAAGTATCACTTACACACAATGACGTCGTCTAAATCTGGACTTTCCCCGGAGCAAATACGAGGTCACCGCCTCATTATGAGGCGAGATTAGTCTGTGAAAACAAAATGTACAGTTATGATCGGTATCCATACGTATATATTCCCTTATACCGCAGAATGAAAGCATATTCTTTAAATCTTACCCTTGCTCCGGTTCGTAGCGCCTGTAATTCGTCTCGGAGTTGTGAAGACGGCGCACCGCTTCCTGTAAACGACACGGCAAAGAAAACACACTTTAATAAAGCTGTTTCTGCTCACTTGTAAGGCTACTAGGCTACTCTTAGCTTAGCTTGAGGCTACGCTACTTTTAGCTTAGCTTGCAGTCATCGAACGTATTCTTACCGCTATCTTGGGATTGTGCGCCCGTCTCCTCTTCTTTGAGTCAGTTCCTCTCCTCCATGGACAGAAACCTTGAGAGTCCCGAACGCTCCAGTGGAGCGAACCGCTCGTTGATATCGGCAGTTTGTTGTTGGAGTGACGAGACGATCCACTGAGAGCATTCAGCAGTTTCTTCTCGTCTGTCTGCGGACTGGCCGAAAGTTGGTGACCGCGGAGAGGAGTTGAAGGCGAGTTGAACGCGAGACGTCGTCCCGCCATTATTCACGAACCAGCAAAAACCAAACAAAGGAACTGGAGATACAGTTCTTCTGAATATAGTAACACACACGTGTCTGTTTGTATGCTCGTCTTGCAGGTACTGCTGTCTGAGTCATGCCTATGACCTCACACGTGATTGGACGAGGAGTCTAAGGGTCCTCCAATCACATACGAGGTTATTGTTATAAGGAAGGACCAGTATTTTAGGAAGACAAATGGTTGGGACTTTGAAACAGCTGATATGCTTTATGTAAAGCAGTGTTTTGGTGTCAGCAGAACGACTTTCCCTGGAAAACTGTACAGTGGTGCCTCTTTCTCCATTCCACCAGACAATCTTGAGTCTGACATACATGCAATGTTGACAATGTATCATCAGATGTACCCTTGTGTCACTGAGGTGGAATGTTTTGCCATGAAATGTAAACGGGAAACATATATGAATGTAACTTACTCAATCGATAGATGCAGAGCATAAAGGTCAGCATGTGTTTATGCTTCATCGTCAATTGGCCTGGTGGAAGTCACTGAGGTAGTCAAACAACTCTGCAGTGGCAAAGCCCCGGGGATTGATGAGATCCGTCCAGAGATGCTAAAAGCAATGGGTGTTGGGGGGTTGTCTTGGATGACACGCCTCTTCAACATTGCGTGGAAGTCTGGGACAGTGCCAAAAGAGTGGCAGATCGGGGTGGTGGTACCCCCCTTCAAAAAGGGGGACCAGAGAGTGTGTGCCAATTACAGGGGTATCACACTACTCAGCCTCCCGGGTAAAGTCTACTCTAAAGTGCTGGAAAGGAGGGTTCGGCCGATAGTCGAACCAAGGATTGAAGAGGAACAATGCCGGTTTTCGTCCTGGTCGTGGAACAACGGACCAGCTCTTCACTCTTTCCAGGATCATAGAGGGGGCTTGGGAGTATGCTCAACCAGTCTACATGTGTTTTGTGGACTTGGAGAAGGCGTATGACCGGGTCCCCCGAGAGATACTGTGGGAGGTGCTGCGGGAGTACGGGGTGAGGGGGTCCTTGCTTGGGGCCATCCAATCCATGTACGCCCAAAGCGAGAGCTGTGTTAGGGTGCTCGGCAGTAAGTGAGAAGGCGTTTCCGGTGGGGGTTGGCCTTCGCCAGGGCTGCGCCTTGTCACCAATCTTGTTTGTGGTCTTCATGGACAGGCTATCGAGGCGTAGTCGGGGGGAGGAGGGTCTACAGTTCGGGGGGCTGCGGATCTCATCGCTGCTTTTTGCAGATGATGTGGTCCTGATGGCATCTTCCGTCTGTGACCTCCAACTCTCACTGGAGCGTTTCGCAGTCGAGTGTGAAGCGGTCGGGATGAGGATTAGCACCTCTAAATCTGAGGCCATGGTTCTCAGCAGGAAACCGATGGATTGCCTACTCCAGGTAGGGAATGTGTCCTTACCCCAAGTGAAGGAGTTCAAGTACCTCGGGGTCTTGTTCACAAGTGAGGGGAAGATGGAGTGTGAGTTTGGCCGGAGAATCGGAGCAGCGGGGGCGGTATTGCACTCGCTTTACCGCACTGTTGTGACGAAAAGAGAGCTGAGCCGGAAGGCAAAGCTCTCGATCTACCGGTCAATCTTCGTTCCTACCCTCACCTATGGTCATGAAGGATGGGTCATGACCGAAAGAACTAGGTCACGGGTACAAGCGGCCGAAATGGGTTTCCTCAGGAGAGTGGCTGGCGTCTCCCTTAGGGATAGGGTGAGAAGCTCAGCCATTCGCGAGGAGCTCGGAGTAGAGCCGCTGCTCCTTTGCGTCGAAAGGAGCCAGTTGAGGTGGTTTGGGCATCTGGTGAGGATGCCCCCTGGGCGCCTCCCTAGGGAGGTGTTTCAGGCACGGCCAGCTGGGAAGAGGCCCCGGGGAAGACCCAGGACTAGGTGGAGAGATTATATCTCTGCACTGGCCTGGGAACGCCTTGGGATCCCCCAGTCAGAGCTGGTAGATGTGGCCCGGGAAAGGGAAGTTTGGGGTCCCCTGCTGGAGCTGTTGCCCCCGCGACCCGACCCCGGATAAGCGGTTGAAGATGGATGGATGGATGGATGTGTTTATGCTAAGTGGTGTGGAAACACTAACAGTTTTGAGGAACCCGTCCTTGACCCTCTAGCAGAACTACGACCAGCCATTATAAAGCAGTTTATAGTTGTTGATGTTGTGTCAAAGGGTAGGGCATTTAAACATGTTCTTGCACAAGTTTCCTGGCTTCATCCCCACCCGGACAGACATTTTTATGGAAAGCCAATAGAAGTTTGGGGCTTGCAGGGAACAGACACGTCATACCCAGCATCATTTCTGCCAGTTGAGCGCATTGCTAGAAGATGTGTGGGTAATACATCATCTGTGCATTTAAGTAAGACCAAAGAAAAGGTCACTGTAGTCCTGCCACTATGCACTGTAGTCGAGCTCTAGGAGACTGATCTCTGCAGACGCCTCATGCTGATTCAAATGTTGTTTGCATGGAATGCTCATTTTACCTTGATTAAAACTAATTTTTTAAAGAAGTTATTTTGTGTATCTTTTTTACATAACATTTGCCATTGCTAATGGCGTACACAGTAATCTAGCATATTTGAATAAAATAAATCAATTCAAGCTAAAATGTAAGAGTCTATAATTAGGCTACTGAGCCTGATCTATTTGTACCAGAGATTTTACCTTTTAAAAAAATTTCCGACAATTTACAGTGCCGCATACTGCCGAAAATCCCACTTTTCATGCAGTGATTTACATTCATCATTTATCATTTACATTTATATTTATATTATTTAACAACTTTGTGTTACTGCCAAACATTATCCTTGGAAAAGTTATTGGATGAATTTACATGAATTTCTCTCTAAATGTTTGAAAAAGTGACATGAATATTGTCGTGCTTTTTTGTTCATATGATAATGCTAAATGTAGCAAAACTGCGCAGGATTTTAGAACATGTGACATTTTACAAACGGCGCCCCATACGGTGGCGCATGCAGTAGAGATCGTGCGCCGGGAACCGCAAGGTTGGTGGTTCAACCCTGGCTGCTCCATGTCCCATGCCGAAGTGTCCCTGAGCAAGACACCTGATCCCGAATTGCTCCCTGGGCAAAAAAGGTAAAGCAAGTCGCTTTGGATAAAAGCGTCAGCTAAATGACATGTATCAAAGGGATGGGAGAGCTGGGTCTGGCGGGACCCCCAGAGGTGGAGCCATCAGTGGTTTACCACCTCCACCCAAGCCGCCGCTCTCTTAGCTTCCTTAAACATCGCCCAGACTAATAAAACAGAGCGCCTCACCGCCTCCGTTTTGCAGAGAATGTATTGCTATGCTGAACGCGATGACTCTGCTGTCCGCATACCAGAGGGAAATCCTGGAGGAGACTGGCAGGAAGCTAGACTCTAGGTCACCTAACCTGGCCCTATGGGATAAGATATGTGTAGTCAACGATTTCATCCTCCGCTCCTCACGCGGTGCAGTACAAGGCTGCGGCCGTGTAATGGGCCTTGCTGTATCAAGTGAGAGAGTCCTGTGGCAAAATCTTTCCTCAGTGCCTCAGTGATGCACAGAAGGCAGAGGTAATGGATGCAGGTTATGACCCAGCCAAGGGTCTGTCTAGTCCTCCTCTTGAAATAATTAGGGAGGCCAGCACCCTCGGGGAAAAAAGAAGGCAAAGCCTTTGACCTCTGCTTGACCAGGAAGGACATCCCTCGTACGTTTTGTAGCCGCAGCCTTTTGAAGTTTCTCACGCTCAAGAGAAGGAGTATCGAGGAGAGCAGGTATTGCAGTGTCACCAAGCAATAAAGTTTATATTTTAGCAGCCAGGCCAAAGGCCGAGGGCAAAATACTCCCCCAAAACATTAAAAAAAATGAAACCATGTCATGACCTCATAATAGGCTCTCTGCTCGGGCAGAACAGTATGCGCAGTGCATCCATAGCAGGTTTCTGTTGCTGGTGGTTATATCTGATGGTGGTTGTTCCTGCAGTGGTCCAGTCTTACTCACTTACTACTCTCAATTTGTAAAGGATTTTTGTTGTATGGATTGAACGTACTGTACACCTTTTACGTCTTCATTGTGTACACATGACATCCATTGCGGGTTGTCCATCCCGAAAGAGGGATCCTGTCACGATCCTGTCACAATGCCGTCACAAAGTGGGGTGGGGTTGCCAGAAGCAGGGCTCAAGTGCAACGAAAACAACTTTATTAATCAAAATATCAAAATCCAAATGCCTGGGGGCAAGACGCAGAGAGGAAGGGGACCAGGAACTTACAAAACACGGGAACAATATTCAGGGTAGAACATTCACTAACGACATTCAATGACGCGACAAGAGACACACATTGCTTAAATACATTGGGAAGGTGCAGGTGATTGGACACAGGTGGAAACAATCAGGGACAAGGCAGACAATCACAGGGTATGACAAAGCTCGAAGTGAAGCTAAAACAGGAAATAAAGTCAAACCGTGACATCCCTCATGATCCCTCCTCTGCCGTTGTTCCTAAGGTTTCTTCTTTTTCCTTTTTTCTCCCCATGGAAGAGTTTTTTCATTTTTTGGGGAGCTTTTTCTGTGACAATGTCAGGGTTTCAGGAATTTTTCAGGATGTCGTGTAACGGGTCTTCGAGATGGTTAACTGATATTAATATGTCCTTAATATTAGCTATAATACGTTTAATAGAAGGCTATAGAAATACCAGTATAGGCTAGTATAAATCACAGAAGTCCAAATTCTGCTACAGGAGCTGGTGGTCAGTAACAACACAGAAACATAAGTTTAAATTTGGTGCAGGTACCATGTATTGCAAAATAATTAAACAAAATATTTAAAACAAGAAATAATGAAAGAAGAAAAATAAAAGAATCCCAAAATATTTACAGACTGCAGTTGAACCGGTTATATTTAAGCACACTTTGTAGTGGTTGTTCAAGTATGCTATACTAATTTAAATTACAGCAAATACCACACAAAAACAAAAAGAGAAAAAGAACCGCCCCTGCAATGGATGGTATACAAGACCAGCGAGACAACCCACAAGGATTTTATGGAATGTTTGTATTGAGTAGTCCGTAGGTTATTGTTCATCAAGTGAAAGGATGTGTACGTGGGATTGAAGCACTAGTCTATGGAGGAGTGTGCAGGGGCAGGCTGTGGACAACCTTCCTACCAGACCAGTAGGAAGTGGCTATTCAGTGGATGCTACACAGATGGTAGGCTCCCAGCAATGGTAATCCAGCTTGCCATCATTCGTCTCCAAACAGAGAGGAAAACCTGGCCTGTAGTGCAACAACAGGAGCAGTAAATAACAGGGCTTAGTTGGAGCTAAGCATTAACATTAGCTCATTCCACACTCCAATATCATTTCCAGGTGCACACAATTTCTAAATCATTACAAAATAAATCACTAAAATGTACAAACTACAAATAATAGACATTAAGTGCATGACATCTCAATCAACAGTACAATGTTAAAGTTGTATTGCCTGCACAAAGTTCAAATAAATTCAACAGTACTAAAATCAAATTTCCTTAATACATGTAAACACACTTATTGAAAACAAATATATTTGTAACCCACAAATGCAAACGTCACAACCGCATAAAATTAATCAAAACCAGTTGGTAAATATTTGATTAATATGTTAGCTTTCAGCATGTAGTTCATTCATTCAGAGTACTCACCAGTTCCTCTATATAGACATATGGCAACCTGATGACGGTGACGATTCCCTGCAGCCACTAAGTTAAGGCTGGCGCATGCTTCTGCGTTTGCGTCTGAGTCGTTGCGGCGACGCACTCGTTTCAATTCATGATTCTGCATGTGTTGCAGAGCAATTGACCGCCAGAACAACAGGCGGAGTAACGTGTTTTTGTTGAAGACGACCTAGAGAGTCGCGTCTATTTATTTTTTTGTTTATTTATTCATCAGACTTTATTGCCCCGTGCATCACCACTGCGGCTTTTCATCGCGGACACATTTGTCCCGTATTTTCCTCCACAACTTTGCGCACCTCTCGACCGGCAAACCGGCATTTGCGGCAATCTCCCTCCGTGAATCCAACCCGCTTCTACAACCCGCCAATGACGGCTTATATAAGCGGTCATATTTGCGCATTTTATCCGACAAAAGTTCTTAAATCTGATCCGTTCTCTCGTAAACATTCTTCGTTTTAATAATGGCGGTATCGGGCTATGAAAGCGGAAATGAGACTCCGTAAAGGATGTAGTTAGCGGACCAATCGCAGCCTGGTGCGCTGCGGGAGGCTTGCGTTGCTTGCGTCGAAAGCGACGCAAGAAAAATGGCTCGACACACGCAAGGACACAAGGAGGTGTGAAAAGCGACGCAAGGGACACGCAAGGGGGGCTTGCGTCTGCGTCGCTCTGAAAACGCAGAAGCATAAACTAGGCTTTATTCTAAAAGTTACAATGATATGTTTAATCTCAAAGAATAAATCAAGCACAAGAGTAAATTGTTTGTTGAACAAAAACCTGTCCACAGCTGCCGATCAGCTTCCCCACACCTCTGAATGAGGAAGACCCTGCAGCCTAGTTTAAACTCGTGCTCTACTGCGCAATTGGCCAAGCACAGTCACGTGACTGGGGTTGCGTGAGATCGCATCTTAAAGGGCCAGGGGACGGCAAAAAATATTGCCAGATTTCAACCTGGGTTACAGTCGCATTTGTGCAGACTGTAAAGCCTTCTGAGGTAAATTTGTGATTTTGGGCTGTACAAAATAAAATTCAAAATGTATTGAATTGAATGGATACTAGTTTTACAATGTGCACTCATGCAGGCGCTGAGCTTCTGATAGTGAATGCTCTGTAGGGGACGGTGCATCTTTTAAAAAAATGGTTGTAAGGGGCTGAATAGTGGAGGGAGTGTACGTTCTAGCCATAAGTCTTATAAGGCAAGGAGGAAAGACATCGGAAAAGAGTGGTTTTCTACCGGATGGTAGAGGAGCAGTGGGGGTTCTCCCTTAGATCTCCAGGGTGGGTGGTCAGTTTGGCGAATGCGCTGCAGATAAACTTGGGTTATCAGTTTTGTTTATCACATTGGTTTATTCAAACGTATAGCTAGATACCATCGGCCTCTGCCACTTGAGGCCGAACAGGAATCTGACAAAAAAGACAGCATAGCAGTCTTTTTTGTCAGAATCCTGTTCCAATATTATATACATGTATATAGAACTATTATACAGTCAAGAATTGAGTTCAAATGCTGATTTATAATGAAGGGTTTCAAACCTGACACGTACTGAAAGTGCACCAAAGCAGAAGATGAGTTTCAGAGTTTGAAACAAAAACAACAAAGCCCATTTCAGATTGAGTTTGACTTATCAAAGATCTACACAGAACCGCACCGTGATTCATTCCGGGGGGCAGAGACTAGAGGCAGCGGATTGGTTCTAAATGAAAAAGCTGACTTTCAAATAAGAATACAAACCAAGAGGGGGCTCAGTGGCGGTGGCGGAGGCTGCTCTTTCTGGCTGCATTAGGGAGAAGAGGGATAGCGTGGTAGGATGTGTTTAAATCAGAGCGCTCTATCTTGTAGTGGGACACATTTCATTAAGCCCAGCAGCTGGGGCCGCGGCTCCATGCGTCCACACATCTATCATACGAATCCATCAGGCCTGTCTCCGCCTGCTGCACCGACAGCATGTGTGTGATAGGAGCCCGTTCTCCTGATCAGACAACTCACTGACTGCCCGCACTTATTCATTACTACTTCCATCTTCCCCTTTCTGCGTTAAGATTTCTTATTTGTCCTCTCCCTCTATTCTCTCTCTGCTCCATCTCTGTGTCTCTCCATGGTGCTTACCAGCCCCCCCACCCAATCCTCCTTTGTCCTTCATTTCTCTCTCTAGAGGGGACAGATGTTGTCCTGCTCTGAATGGATTCTGCAGGCCCTCTGGTCCTTCTTTGCTTTATTCTCCTGCCTCTTGCTTCACCGTTGCAGAGTGGGAGCTGTTTTACTGAAGTAACAGCTAATACAACAGTGTACTGCCTTACTACGGTGAAAAAAAGGAAATACTGGGTCTTTGACTTTACAAAAGTAGAATGAGTAAAAGCAACACAATTAATTTATATTCTGTTGGTGAACATGGTTTAATCGAGTGCACTTAAGTTGTTTGTAAAGAAGGTTGAGCTAACTAGTTTCATTCAATTTGATTGAAATTAATCAGATAAAAAAAAACAACTCAATGTAATCGAGTTTGGTCTCTGCCGTTCAAATGTCGCGACGCAGTGCCGCTCTGGAACAGAAGGTGGCGCTTACGCGCATGTAGGTGGCTGACAAAAATAGACTAAGAAGAAGACCGAAGAGCCTGCGAACGATCCACGCCGCTAACGGAACGTTGTAGGAAAATCTCCATGCTTTGCAGCAAGAGGTCGCAACCCAATATCTCAAAAAGTAAGTTCTTTATATTCATATATGTTGGAGTAATTTGGCGACAGTCGACTTGAGCCGTGTTTTCAAACAGTAACGTAATATCACAAGCCTGTTAACTCTGTGTACATAAAGCCAGTAGTCGAGTTTAAAAAAAGAAATCCGGAGGGATTGTCATTTTTTTTTCCCTTAAAAAAGGCGGTTGGGGATTGTAATTACTCGTGGCCCTCGTGAAATTCCTGCCCTTGTTTCTACATTAAAAATAACTTAATTACATTAAAAGATGACCGACAGCCTTCAGAATTTCAGTAATTGTGTTTTTAGTGACATGAGTTAATCTGAGCTAGCTTGGAAGCTACACGGCTAGTGTTACGTCCCCTGTTCTGTGTATAGGTTTGTGTATGTGTTCTGTTTTGTGTGTGTGTTCATACAGGTGGTACTGATCATCCATGATCTCCATTCATCTTGGCTCCACCCCCGCTCGTTACCCGGTTCAGCTGTTTCCACTCATCTCCAATCCCATCATGCCCTTCTGTCAGTATACGTACCCCTGTGTTTGTTTCACCTGGGGGGGGGTCACTCTGGTTGTGTGTATGTGAGTGCTGGTGTATGGTGAGGCAGTTAGTGCTGGTGATTTGCTGTACTGTATATTCAATTAATTGTTTTTTCTTTGTTCTTTTTCTTACAGGGGGATGAGGAGTAGTTTAGCCCTACTCTGGAGTTTACATACCTGCACGTAGGGTTACTCTCCTGTCTAACAACACTAGCTACACCTGGCTGGGCCACTTACTGTAAATTTGGGTAGGGTGCCTTGTTAGTGTGCCAGTTAGTTAATGATTTTCGTTGCGAGATAGTACAGGTAAGTGGGTGGGCGGCATTTTGTTCTCCTCTTTGCTTTGGTACCGCCAGCCCTCCTCGTTTCCCCTGTTAACTGGGCTTAAATAACCCCAACTTCAAGGTCCCTCACAAAAAGAAGCTATATTCAGTTGTCACATTTGTAGTTATACTGATTTAGCATCAGAGAAGGATTATTTTTCTCATATAAATGGACATCTCAAACGAAATGACAGTCATTTGTATGTTTTTAGGATGTGACTTTAAGACAAACATTTATTGTACTTTTAAATCACATAAAAACCGAAAACACTGTCATCAAACACACTAGTTGATTTTAAACCCAGAAGTAGTTATAACTACAAGGATATCATCTGCCAACGAATTGGAAGCAAACCGTGAGGAGTGTGTTGAACAGTCAGATACTTTCATTCCTTCAAACAGTCATTCTCATACAGAAGACTTGCATAAGGTCATTGAGCATAGATTTGCCGCAGCTTTGCTGAAGTTGGAACATTTGGTCCATATACCCACTTCAGCTGTAGATGAATTTCTACGCTGAAGTTAGTTTGTGTGAACACTACCTCTTAGTTGCCCAATTCAGATTGTGCCACATTTTGTTTACTGGTTTACAGTAAAAAACAACAAAAAAAACATTACTGTTTTTTTGCTATTGAGGATGCACTTGTGCAGTACTAACTGTTCAGTTTTTGAACTGCAATAAGAGATTTGTATTTTGAATGCTGCTGGTGTAATAATGGTTACAGCTTAGTATTTCTATGCTAAAATTACTAAGTGTGTGTGTGATTTCTAAAGTTTTATGGAAGAATACAGTATTTTTTCAATGCAATCGGGTTTGATTTTTGTATTTCAACACAAAACTGATGTCTACAATGCATTTGGCTGGCTTTAACAAATTAGTTTAGAGACCTAACCTGGGTTGTAACAAAAAACTGAAATTGCTTTTAATTTACATAACACATGTAAATAAAGTTTGTTTTATTGAAAATCAGGTATCCTGAACATTGTAAAATCACTTTCATTCTACTTAATTAATTGGTGTTGCAGTAGCTTAAAAATATAAATTAACTCAACTAGATTATTTTAAATACCGGAATATGATTAAAATCGTTCGGTTTAACAAGTAATAATTCATTGAGAAAAAGAAGGAAATGTTGTCAGTCATACGCATTCTTATCATGTGGGACCGATGTACACATTAAAATCAAATAAATCCAAAGGATTATTTTTTTACTATAGTAAAAGTTCTACTTTTCAAGTAATAGTATTTTAAAAATACATCACTCGTATTTGAGAGGCACGAAGTGCAAATAAGCTTTTCACTTCGTGCCTCTCAAACCGCCAAAGACTATGTTGCATATTACCTAAACGACGGCGCGTGTTGCCATTTCCGTGCGCCTGAATGATGTATACTGAAATGGTGACATGAATCCTGGAAAAAAAGCAGTATGTTTTGGTTAGAAGAAACATAAGTGATTCATACGAAGGCTAACTCTGGATTAGACATGAGACCTTGTGGTTTTATACAACCTTGCAGGTGATAACGTTGTGAACAGTTTCACATTATTTTACATTTTTA